ATTTGCCCGACCCCAGTTTTGCGATAGTTCGTTGCATCACTGCTTTGATTCGTAGTGCTTTTTTTTTCTTCTTTCAGACCGGTCAAGGAAAAAATTGAGGGACATTCCGGAATTTACGTCAAAACGAATCGTTTGTATCGACGATCGATGAGTGTGCGAGAATATCGTGCACTTGCCAAAAGGATGCCTGGCCCAAAGGGTAAATTATCTCCGCAAGAGATTGAAAAGTAAGTGCGCAAGATTTGCCGCAGATCAAAAATAATCCTGTAGATGCTGGACTTCACCTGTGATGATCCAGTTGCAATAGACATTTTAACTGAATTGTCGTGGATTCTCTCTTTCTGGAAATCGATTTTTAATTCTGGCTCGCTCCCATGACGTTTTTTGTTTCTGGCTTAGTTTACTGATGTAACTATTACTGAATGCATTAGCTGCTTGAAAGAATAGACCAGACGAATTGTACTCAGATGTCATGTGTAAGATGGTATTTTACGGTGCAAACTTGTCTTTCATCGTTTAGATGTAGTAATAAGATGATATTTTACGATGCAGTCTGTGTTTCATCTCTGAAAGCGAACTCAAAATTTGTTGAGGTACTACTGGCAACATGTATTGCAAGGTGAGCCAGTGTATGGTGCTGACACACCGGGTTCGATATGTGACAAAGATCTTGCGGAATTCAACATGAATAATCTGGGCACGGTGCTCGATTTGCTCGATGAAAGTGGAGTAAGTCATTTCTGAAAGATTTTTTTTAATTTTTCTACAAAATTGGCACAGTGCATGCATTTTTGCATGAATCAAAAAGAAAACTTTTATGGCGAGAGCACGTCTTTGCCTCTACCGTTCATCCCTACCCGACGAGTACTGCGTAAATTCGGGAGCTAGTTGCTGTATCCGGTAGAGTGCTGTTAGATTTAGGTCGTTTTTTCCGCCCTTCAGATCAGAGGCGAAAGGGGACACATTCCTAAATGCCATGCTGTATCCTAGGACTTGGACCGCTTGGACTCTATGCAGTTCTCGAGCACCTTATCAATTTTTAGAAAACGCCGAAGATGCGGCCAAAGCAGAGCAGTTTGGGCAGTTACCTTCTTTTCAGACGTTTTTGAAGAGCATTCCTCGAAGCTCACAATTGCCTCTATAAATTTAGAATAATTTGTTCAAGATTAGATTGGATGCTCTGAATAGGTATGGGACGGGGAAGCTGTAAATTGGAACTTCTGGCTTTCTCGTAATTTGAAACTAAAGGAATTTACCTCATGATTTAAAACGGACTCAATCTAAAAGAGAAAAAATTTTTAACCTCATTTGGGCCCGCATTCTATATTACTGTGACCATTTCATAATCCTAAACGAAGAGCAAGTGATAAATCTAGAATTTTCACGCTTCTCATGCTATTTCAGTCAAAAAATAACCATGACAAAGTTCGGTGAGATGTGACACATATTTTTTCATCAAATAGAAAATGCACATCAAAAAAAAGAAACCAATTTCCTGTA